AAGGTATAGAGAGGCAAGCGTAGTAGCACACACGTATAATCCAACACTTGGGAGGCTGAGGCAGGAGGATTGCCATGAGTTTGAGGCCAGCCTGTGCTACATAGTGAATTCAAAGCCAGCCTGAACTACTGGACATGGCAAAATTCTGTCTCAAATAAACAAAAGAAATAATGAAAGAGAATTTCCAAACATACTATCCATCTAGGCAAATGGCACATACATAAAAACATGCATCATGCTGAGTATGGTAGTACATGCTTGTAATCCCAACATTCTGCGAGTTGGGATTAGCCAGGAGGATTGTAAGTTTGAACCTGACCTGGGCAACTTAGTGACTTGGCGAAACCCTATCAAAATTAAAAAGGGTTGGGGATGTAGCTCAATGAATATTCTCTTGGATCAGTTTCTGATATACACATACAAACACACAGGAACCAGGTGTAATGGTATATGCCTCTAATCCCAGCACTCTGGGAGGCTGAGGCAGGAATATGAAAAGTTTGAAGAAAAAAGAAAAAAATGTTTGATCCCAGCCTGGACAAATTAGTGTCTCAAAAAATAAAGAAAAGGGCCAGGATGTGGCTTAGTGCAAAGGCACTGGGTTCAGTCACCGTTATCACAGAAAACTACACATGTGCACAGAATTTTGCTCTTTGGTAGGATGCATGCTTAATATGCTTGAGACCCTGGGTTCAATCCCAGCACCAGGAGTCTCCTCTGCCCCACCCCCAGATTCTCTTACACTAAAGTTCTTTATTCCTTTTTTCAGCCCCTTCCCCATCCTTTCTCTTTCCTCCCTCCAGTTTTTGATCCCCTTTCCATTTGAGAAAGTTCTCTCTCCCTGCTTCCATTGTCTTTTATTCTGTTCTTTATGTATGATTTGGGCTTCTCATATAAGAGAAACTGTGCAGTATTTAAGCTTGTGTGTCAGATTGACTTCACCATTATGGTCTCAAGGTGCATCCATTTTCCTACAAATGACTCGTTTGTCTTTCACAAATGCTTTTGTCTTCAAACAGTTCGGTTTACAAACAGAAGCATTTGGCAAAATTCTTGTTTTGTCTGCAAACTCTGCATGGGGTGACGAACATGACTGTGGCCATCTTTCTCACACAAACACAAACATGACCATCTTTTCCAAAATTGTAGAACAAATTCAGTTTGTGAATCAAGGTAACACTGTAAACGCTTAAACGGACCTTTTTCTATCCAAATTTTAATAGTTTTATCAAACAGTAAAGCCTGTATTGCTTGGCATGATGGTGCACGTCTGTGTTCCCAGCACTTGGAAGGCCGAGGTGGGAGGATCATTGTGGGTTCAAGGCCAACCTGGACAGTATGGGTGAGTTCAAGGCCATTATGAACTATATAGTGAGACTTGTCTCAAAAGAAAAAGCCAACTGTGAGAGAAAGGAAGGAAAGAAGGGACAAGAAAAAAAGTGAAAATAGAAGGAAAAATGGAAACGAAGCTTTTGTACATAGGTAGGGGAGGGGTTTGGGGTGATATAAAATACATTTTATTTTCAAAAGCCAACTATATAAAAGATTTATTCCTGACCTTCCAAAGATAACATAGAATCCATTTTGACCCCTCTGATGAAAGCATTATATTTGGATTCAGTGTTTTTGCTTTCTGCTGGAAGCATACATGTAGGACCAAGTAGTTTGAGATTCATGACGTCCACAGACAGAGGAAGTAGCATAGAATTGGGGGTTTGAGAAAAATGCAGAAACTTAGAGATAGATAAGGAATGAGGGAAGAAAGGAAAGGAAATATAAAAGGTGTTAAGGCAGCCATCTCACTGAGACTCCTGTGAGCACTCTCATGGACAGAATGAATGTGTGTGGCGGGATGGTGTTGGCTACAAGAGGCAGAGAAACATAATTTCCTTAAATAAGAATCGGGTTTATTTCTTTCTGAGGTAGAAGAGATGGAAGTTAGGCAGCCCAGGACTCCTGTGGTCACTCCTGATCTCTCAGCTCCTGTCCTTTTTGCTCTGTTTGATCAGTCGACTATTATAGTTATGCCACATAACAAATAAAACAAGAATTCAGTAGCCTGAAATAACAGCAGTTGTTTTTCGCTTGTGGAATATTGGATTAGCTGGGCTGGATTCTGCCTCAGGCCACAGGCTGCTTCTCATCATGGGACCAGCAGTTCCCAAAGCCACATTTCTCTCAAGGCAGATGGCAGTACCAAGGCCAGCCAAACCGCACCAGCTTATTTAAAGCTTTAGCTTGTGTCATGGTCTCCTAACAATCATTGTCCAGAACAAGTCAGACTGTGCCCAAAGTCAGAGCAGAGGAGACTATTCCCAAGTGACTATTCCCACAGCTAAGAAAGGAAGGATAATGGGAAGATAAGATAATCTGCTGCGGACCCCCTTAGCCAACTGCCTCAGGGTCCATTAGGCAGGTGAGAAAAGAGGGTAAGAAGGGAAACCTTTCCCTTTATTGTATTTTAGAAACTACAGGGCCGGGGATTTGGCTCAGTGGTTCCGCAGCCTGCCTTGCAGGGGCTCGAGTTTGATCTCCGGTACCACAGAAACAAAAACAAAACATTAAAAAAATTGCATCTCTAACTTCTTGTGTATTATGCTCCCATGCTGAAGAATATAGTTTTTTTCCAGGCAAGTGTCCCACTGGAAACCGAGGCCTATGTTATTAAAGAAGAAGAGAATAGGTATTGGGTGATAAATAGTTTTGCCACAAGAATCTTACAAGCTTTCTTCATTAGAACAAGAAGGCATATTAACAGGTACAACACTGTCTGCAGTCAACTTCCTGGAGTTCCTGGCTTCAGTATTTTTCTCTCTCTTAGCTATAGACTGAAGAATTTCGCACAGGAGAACTTCAGGATATTGCCATTGAATGTTTTGTGATATTTAAACTGCTGTGCAAAATTCACTTTTTTAAAAATACCATGCCTTTCAGTTCTGGGCAACAAAGGCAAGGCAGGGGCATCTCAATCCCTGCCCTGAAATTACACAGCTACTGTGATAAAAACAGCATGGTACTGACAAAAGAACAGACCTGAGGATCAATGGAACAATTAGAAATTACAGAACAACTCCAGACAATACTCAGCTACCTTATATTTGACAGAAGGGCCAAATACCTTCACTGGGAGAAAGATAGCCTCTTTTATAAACAGTGCTAGAAAAACTGGCTCTCCACATGCTGAAGATCGAAGCTGGACCCATATCTTACCAAATGCTCACCTAAAATCAAAATGGATCAAAGATCTAAATGTTAAAACAAACACTAAATTTGCTGGAAGAGAAAATAGGTAGAACACTTGAGGACATAGGAGTGTGTAAAGACTTTATGAACAAATCCCAGACCACACAGGAATTACTACAAAAATCAACAACTGGGACCTCATCTGTATGTTTGTACCAGCGATTGAACTCAGGATTTTGGCGGGGGTGGATTTTGAGACAGGGTCCCACTAGGTAGTGAGACTAACCTGGAACTCGCTATGTAACTCAGGCTGGTCTCGAAATCACAGCAATCCTCCTACCTCAGCCTCCCTAGTGCTGGGATTACCGGCATGCACCACCACGCCCGGCTGAACTCAGGATCTTGTGCTGCCACTTGAGTTAAATCCCCGAACTGGGGACTTCATCTCATAAAAAAAGCTTTTGCCCTGGGCGTGGTAGCACACACCTGTAATCCCAGCTGAAGCAGGAGGATCACTGAGAGTTTGAGACCAGCCTGGAGTACATAGTGAGTTCCAGGTCAGTCTCAACTACATAGTGAGACCCTGTATCAAAAAACCAAAAATAAATAAGTAAATAAACAAACAAACAAACCAAGCAAGCAAGCTTTTGCACAGCAAAAGAAACTACCAACAGAGTGATGAGACCACCCACAGAATGGGAAAAGATTTTTATTAGCTATTCAGATAAAAGACTTATCTAGAATATATAAAGAACTCAAAAAAAGCAGACCCCCAAGATTTGAAGAACCAATGCAAAAATGGGCATCCAAAATAAAAAGACACTTGTCAGATAAAGAATTAGAAATGGCATCTGGGTGTGGTGGCGCACACCTGTGATCCCAGCACTCTGGAGGCTGAGGCAGGAGGATTGCTGTGAGTTCAAGACCAGCCTGGGCTACATAGTGAGTTCCAGGTCAGTCTTGATTACACAGTGAGACCCTGTCTCCAAAAGAATTAGAAATGACAAATAAATACATGAAAAAATGTTCACCATCACAGGTCATTTGTGAACAGCAAATGAAAACAATGCTGAGATTCCATCTTACTCCAGAAAGAATTGCTGCTGTCAAGAAATCCACCAGTAACAAATGCTGGTGGGGTTGTGGGGAAAAGGAACCCTTCTCCATTGTTGGTGGGAGTGCAGACTGGTGCAACCACTGTGGATATCAGTATGGAGATTCCTCAAAAAACTAAAATTAGAGGTTCCATTTGACCCACCTAGATATCTTGGTGTCTTCCAGAAAGGATTAAAAGAATCATACCTCAGCAATATATGTGCACCCATGTTTATAGTGACACAGTTTGTAATAGCTAAAGCTTGGGAAAGCCCAAATGCCCATCAGCTGATGAGTGGTTAAAGAAGATGTGGGTTTTTGTTTTTTTTTTTTTTTACAATGGCGTATTACTCTGTCATAAAGAAGTTTGAGCTTCAGACATTTCTAGCTAAATGGATGAACCTTGAGATCATACTCTTAAGTGAAATAAGTTGAACACACATGTTTAAATACCACATTGTTTCTCTGGTGTAAGAAACTGAATGTGGAAATAAGAACTAAGATGTATAATGGATGTTAGGAAATGGAAAGAAAGTGTTCAAATGGGAAGGGGAACAAGGGAAGACAAGTTAAAGGAAGGGACAAGAAAGTGAAAATAGGAAAAAACGGAAACAAAGCTTTTATACATTGGGAGGTGACTTGAAGGGAATGGGATAAAATAAAATTTATTTTAAAAATAAAATATGGACCAGGGATTTAGCTCAGCGGTTCAGTGGCCTGCCTTGCAAGCACAAGTACCCAAGTTCAATCCCCGGTACCAAAAAAACAAAACAAAACAAAAATAAAATATAAGCCTGGTTGTGGTGGCGCACTCCCCAGCACTGGGGAGGCTGAGGCAGGAGGATCACTGTGTGTTCCAGACGAGCCTGGGCTACATAGTGAGTTCCAGGTCAGTCTCAATTATGTAGTGAGACCTTTTCTCAAAAAGCAAAAAAATAAAATTAAAATAAAATATAAAAAATACTATGATTTCAGAGGAGTATGAGCACTGCTTTGCATTTTCAGAAGAGTATAAAATCTCTTTCATGAAGTTGTATCAAAAAACTATTAAGAGGGCTGGGGCTCAGAGGTGCCTCCTCTGGCCTTTCAAGTTCAAGGTCCCAAGTTGGATCCCTGATAACCAAAAAAACAAAGAAAAAGTAGAATATTAAGAATTTTACTCTGGAAAAAAAAATATAATGAACTGTATCATTCTCACAGGTGTTTCAGATTTATTAAAGTTCTGTTAGTGGGTAAAATATATATATATCATGCCTTTATATTTACAGTGTGAATTCAGGACTGGACAGTTTACACAATCAAGTACATTCTGGGTACCTGCTTGTATGACGGGCTGTTTCAAAAGTGATATATCTGTAATCTGTTACTCAGTTTTGTAGGAAGGTCTGTTGCATATTGTATTCACAGTGGTAGTAGAGCAGCCAGGGATTTAGCTTAGTGGCACCATGCCTGAGCACAAGATCCTGAGTTTGATTCCTGGTACCCAAAAAAAAGAAAAAAAAATTGCAGTAGACACTTTGTAGACAGAAATTGATCCACAGATAACAGTGTAGCAATGCATTCTTCTCTCATTTTTATTTTGGTTTTTTGAAGTAGGATCTCAAGATTTTTATGCTAGGCTGACACTTACTTTGAATCCCAGGCTAGCCTCAAACTTGAAGTCATCCTCCTGCCTCAGCCTCCTGAGTGCTGGGAATACAGGCTTAGGCTACCATGCCTGGCATTCGTCCATTTTATTATTTATTATATTCAGAATCAGATTTTGGCAGTAAACAATATTTAATATTAATCCAGTGTAACATCAGTGTTCAAAACCTAGCTGGCAATGAGTTTGTTTTGCTATATATTGCCATTTTCCCAGTTCATTGAGGTGGAGTCTTAGTCTTCAAGTGACCATGAAGAGAGGTATACAGGGCCCAGGGATTTAGCTCAGTGGTTCCGGCGCCTGCCTCACAAGTGGAAGGGCCCGAGTTCAATCCCCAGTACCAAAAAAAAAGGAAAGAAAGAAAGGTATATAGGCCCAGGAATAAAGCTCAGGGGCCAGGGATTTGGCTCATTGGCACCACACCTACTTGGCAAGTGCAAGGTCCTGAGTTTGATCCCCAGTACCAAAAGAAAACAGAAGGAAAGTTATACATCCAGCACTTTTTCCTAAAGAGTTGGAGGGATCCCCTTAATTTGAAGTGTGAAGTCCATGAAAAGGTTGACAGAACAGTGAGCAACTATATTCCTTCTCCTAGATTTACCAGTTGCTGACTGTTTTTCATTGAAGTCCGAAAGTAGGTTGCAGATCTCATGACATTTCACCCATAAGTATTTTAGCGTGTATACTTTTAAAGAACAAAAGCCATCTTCTAAAATTTTTCTAATCAAGCAATATGCCATTGTCCTGTTGAAAAATAATGGCCAGGTATGATCCTGTCATGCTTGTAATCCCTGCACTTCGGAAGCTGAGACGGGAAGATCTGGAGTTCAAGTCCAGTGTGGACTATATACCAAGGCCTATCTCAAGTGTATGTGGGGTGGTTTAACTATAATCTAATGCTATCATCCAATAATAAAATCTCTCCACTTGTTTGTGACCAAATTTTTTGTGATAATGAGCTACATCCCCAGCCTTTTTAAAAATTGATGGATTGATTAGTTGATTTTTATTTATTTTCTGGTATTAAGGATTGAACCCAGAACCTTCATACTGAGTTGGTGGTGGTGGTGGTGGTGTTTTTTGTTTGTTTGTTTGTTTGTTTTTGACACAGGGTCCTGATAGGCTGCTCAGGTAGGACTCAAACTTGGCCTTAGGAAGTGCTGTGATTTCCAAGTGCTGGGAGTACAATTGTGTGCCTTTGTTTCTTTGTTTTTTGAAACTGGGTCTTGCTAGGTTACCCAGAATGGCTTGAATTTGCGCTTCTCTATGTCAACCCCCCAAAGAAATAGTATTACAGTTGTGTACCACCACACCCAGCAAGACAGGCTTCCCCCGCTCCAGTTCTGGGGATCGAACTCAGGACCTTGGGCTTGTGAGGCAGGTACAGCACCACTGAGCAAAATCCCCAGCTACATGGGCATTTTTGAACAGCCCAGACCAGTTGTCCCATAGAATGTTTCACCGTATGAATTTAATTACTTACTTTTGTTTATATTTTTTATTTGTAATTAACACCACATTGTACATATTTGTGGAATATAGCATTATATTTCAGTGCATATACATTATGATTGGATAAGGACAACTGGCACATCTCTTACTTCGTGTATCCTTATGTCAGAAATACTGAAAATCCTCTCTGCAGAGCTGGATGTGGCACATGCCTGTACTCCTAATATTCTATACTCAGAAGGCTGAGGAAGGAGGATCTCAAGTTCTGGGCCAGTTCAGGCAACTTGGCAAGACTTGTCTCTAAAATATAAAAAGGCCTAGGGCTATAGTTCAAGGTTAGAGAGCCCCTAGATTAAAAAAATGTCATCAGGGCCAGGGCTTTAGCTCAGCAGCATGTCATCACCAGATGAGGTGGCACACACCTGTAATCCCAGCATTTAGGAGGCTGAGGCAGGAGGATCACAGTGAGTTCAAGGCCAGCCTGGACTACATAGTCAGTTCAGGGCCAACCTGGGTACATAATAAGACCCTGTCTCAAAATCAAGATTAAAGAAATAAAAACACTGTTATTCATATTTATTCTACTGTATTGCAGAACTTTAGAAATGTAATAAAACACTTCTGGTATTCCTGATAAACTTACTCCCAGACCTCTTAGATGACTGATTTCTAGATATTTATTCATGTTGAGCTGTCTTTTAGGATTGTATTGAGTTGGGAGCTAACGAAATTACTTATCAATAGAACCAGTACAACCCACTGTCAACTCCTCAGAGTGAAGCTTCCCTGTGTACCTGAACTGCAGTTTCCCTGTACTCCCCTTACCCTGTAGCCGGTCTGTGTATTTCTTGGCTGCCTTTCTTGCTATAATGTAAGCCCTTTGTACTGCGTGATATAAAGAGTGTTACAGAAGAGTGCTTCCCCAGCCTTGTTAAATGAACATTTTCACCGGGCATGGTGGCACACACCTGTAATCCCAGCACTGGGGAGACTGAGGCAAGAGGATTGCTGTGAGTTCAAAGCCAGCCTCAGCTATCTAGTGAGTTCAAGGCCAGCCTGTACTACACAGATAGACCTTTTCTCTTTGTTTTGTTTTTTTGTTTTTTGTGTTTTTTTGAGACAGGATCTCACTATGTAGTTGAGATTGACCTGGAACTCACTATGTAGCCCAGGCTGGTCTCGAACTCACAGCGATCCTCCTGCCTCAGCCTCCCAAGTGCTGGGATTACAGGTGTGCACCAGCATGCCCAGCTCTGACCCTAACCCTAACCCAACTTCAAAAAATAATTAAAAGAACATTTTATCCAGTTTTAATCTAAAAGTGCTTTGAGTTGATTTTTGTATCTCCTTACAGGTGTTGGTCCTGCTTCTGTGATGGTTGGGAATCTGGTTGCTGGAAAACGCATAGCACAAGCTGCAGGAAGGGATCTGGGCCAAATTGAAGAAAATGATTTAGTGAGGAAGGTAAGTATTGATTTTTACCAAGTCAAGGACATAACTTACACGTCAGATAGTAGAAGGATGTATTATATGACTTTTGAAAAGTGCTGACCTTTTTTCTGCTTTATGACTTCAGCACCAGTTTCTGGCAGAGATTCTGCAGTGGCGAGCCCAGGCAACTCCTGACCATGTCCTCTTCATGCTATTAAATGCCAAGGTATGAAAAGTGCAGTTGTACATCTAATCAGCTGAATCCTGTGGGAATATCTTAGAACCTCTTGGTGTCCTTTTTAATTAGAAATTATTTACTACCTCTAAAGAAGGAGTTACTGCTCTCTCTGTTTTGTTATATAAGGATAGGTTGTAGAGTTAAGGTTGAATGAGATCTCCCAGAATGCTTTGTAAAATACTGTCTTGTTTTATCATGAAGTCTCCTTTATTCAGTTTTGATAAAAATGTTGGGGCTAATAGTACAGTTACAAGAATGTAACATACATTATATCACATGTGTTTTTATCCAATTTGACTTTTTTTTTTGGTATGAGGGATCGAACTCAGGACCTTGTGCTTTTGAGGCAGGTGTGGCACCAGTGAGTTAAATCCCCAGCCCTATCCAGTTTGACTTTTAATTCTTTGATTTCTGCCGGGAAAAAGTGACTTTACACAAACATTTTTATTTTGTTTGTTTGTTTGTTTGTTTGGTACCAGGGATCGAACTCAGGTCCTTGCACTTGCAAGGCAGGCCACCTAACCGCTGAGCTAAATCCCTGGCCCTGTTGTTCATTTTTTGAGACAAGGTCTCACTATGTAGTTGAGACTGACCTGGAACTCACTATGTAGTCCAGGCTCATCTCGAACTCACAGCAATCCTCCTGCCTCAGCCTCCCAAGTGCTGGGATTACAGGCGTGCACCACCACACCTGGCATACACAAACATTTTTAAAACTAAACTTTTCTTTTTTGTACTGGGGATCGAACTCAGAACCTGGCACTTTTGAGGCAGGTGCCTCAAAACAATCTAATTGGTTTGGTTTTGTTGCTGGAGAATTTATGCAGTGACAGAATTTAATGAAAAGAATATGCTATAAATCTGTCTTAGTTACTTTTCTCACAGCTAGCACAAAATAGCCAACAGGTTTATTTTGGCTCATAGTTTATAGAGGTTTAAGTCTTAGTCAGCTGTATCTAAGACAAGGCAGCATGGCAGAGGGCATCACACAGTAGAAACATTACATGGTGTGGCAGGCAAAAGACAGCAGTGGCGGCAGCAGGCCTGCCTTCCCTCTGTCTCTTTTTATGCCACACAGGTCATGAGCCTATTGATTGGCGCCACCCACACCCAGGGTGGAGCTTCCATCTTCCACACCCTTAGTCCTAGTATCACACTTTTAATCCACATTCACTAAATCTAGCCACTACCAGAAAACCCCACCTACGACCACATGAGGCTTTGCGGGGACATCAAGATACGAGTCATAACAGCATCTAGTCATTGAAAACAATGTCTCAAAAAACAAAAAAAAAAGGAATGAAGAGCAGGGGACATACCTTGGTGCCTAAGCCTGGGTTCAATCTCAGTAATGCCAAATAATAAAGATAATGGGGGGCCGCTGATTTAGCTCAGTGGCACTGTGCCTGCCTTGCAAGCACAATGACCTGAGTTCAATTTCCCAGTACAAAAAAAAGAAAGAGAGGACGGGGTATGGGGATGGAAAACAGAGGAGGAAGGGATAGTAGGCCGGGGATTTAGCTCAGTGGTCCCACTGCCTACCTCACAAGGGCAAGGTCCTAAATTCAATCCCCAGTGCCAAAGCAAGATGATGATGATGGTGGTGGTGGTGGTGTTTGTAATAATTTAACTTTTATTTTTATTAACAATATAAAATCTCTATGTTACTGGGGTTCATTAAATGCATGGAGTGTGTGCCAGTCAAATGGAAATTAGCTATTTCCATTCATTTGAATCATGGCTGTGGAGCCCATATTCTTTTTTTTTTTTTTTTTTTGTACCAGGGATTGAACTCAGGACCTTGCGCTTGCCAGGCAGGAGGCTGCCTGGCCCTGGGACATGTTCTTAACCAATGCACTATATTGCCTTTGGCAGGTGATATAGTATGATGCTGCTGTTTTAAAATAATATATATATTCATTTTTAGTACTATTTTACATTAATCAAATTTAAAAGTTTTTTAAAGCTCTGTATAATTTATAGTTTGTGAGGCTTTTATCCATTATAAAAATATAGTATAAGATAGTCTGATACTAACATGTTGGATAAAGAACAGCCATCTGGGAAAAAAAGAATATAAAAGGGCCAGGGATTTACCTCAGCGGTTCGGTGGCCTGCAAAATAAAGAACAACCATCTGGTATACAGTTCGGCATTATCCAGTAGAGTTGAAGCTTGGCAACCTGCTGACTCCCGATTTATAATTCTAGGTCTGTACCCTATCAAAATTCATGTATTTACGCATCGCAATGCATATCCAGAAAACGATAGTGTTCATCAGCAGTAAAATGGATGAATAAATTGTCACACCTTCACATAATTAAATATTACACAGCAGTAAACATGGAAGAACTATACCTGCATACAGCAGCAAGAAGATGCTTGATATTGAATGATAGAAATAGCACCAAGGGGTGTGTACAATACAATTCCATTGGTAATGCCTCCCAGAAATTTCATGTGTGCTAAAATATTCAGAAAAAGATATCAGTGGTTAACAAAAAAGTCAAGATGATGCTTGTCTGTGAAGGGAAAGAGAGGGCTGTGAGTAGGGGTTTTGAGCTGCCAGGGTGGTCCTCCCTTGTCATGCTAGTGCTTATACCGGTACTGGCTTGATAGCTTTTCATCAAACTACATGTATGTTTTGTGCTTTCCCTTACATGTACCATATTTTACAAAGGTTAGCGGCTACCAAAGGCTTAGCTTAGTAAACTTTATGAAGGTCTACAGAAGAAATTATTCTCAGGATGGAGAGAAATTGACACCTTTCTCATCTCCTAATCTTTATTATTAGCTGGTAGACTGATTAATGTTTTTGTATGCATCTTTACTCTTAGTAAACTCAGAGCCAAATTTGTTTTATACACAGCAAATGGATGTGACCCTTGGGGTCAGCACTTACTATCTTGTCCTCATGTTTTCTGCCCTCCTCATTCTACTGTACTTTGCATTCTCGTTAATTTCGCTCTACTTACTTCCTCATATAAAATTTATTTTTTAAAGAATTATGTATTTTTAAATCACTTTAATATATTTGATTTAAATTATTTGATCCCTAGTACCAAAAAAAAACCAAATGTTAATATACCCTAAGTACCTGCAGACATTGAAAAAGGAAGGAAACCTCCCACCATGCTTTTTGTTTATTTGTTTGGTTTTGTTTTTTGAGACAGAATCTTGCTATGAAGTTCAGGCTGGCTTTCTTTCATGTATTTTACAGTAATCTTGTGTACTGAAGGCGTTTCCACATTGCTTACATACATGGGCTGGGGATTTGGCTCAGTGGTTCCGCCGCCTGCCTCACAAGCACAAGGCCCTGTGTTTGAGCCTCAGTACCAAAAAAAAAAAATCAAAATACAACACATTGCTTACATACATAGGGCTTCTGCCCTGTGTGAATTCTCTCATGTTTACAATATTGATGCCTACTGAAAGCTTTTCCACACTGCTTACATACATAGGGTTTCTCCCCACTGTGATTTCTTTCATAGGTCTGAACATCATTAGGTGTGCTGGAGGCTTTCAGATTTTTCTTATATATAAAGTTCTCTCTAAGGTGAGTTCTTTCACTAAGAGTAGGATTTCCCACACTGATCGTATTCGTAGGGTTTCTCTACAGTCTTTGTCCCTGCGTGCTTCTGAAAGGACTTCCATGTTCATTACATTTACATGGTTTCTCTTCCAATCCCAGGTACTCATATGTCTTCAGTCCAGTGGGAGCTATGATGGCACATTTAGTGACAAATGCCCAGTAGGGCTTTCTGCAAGCAAGGCTTTCATCTGGTTTTAAACCAGCTTGTTTCATCTCCACATTAGCATCTGGAGTCCAAAGTAGTATTTCTTCATATTGATTCCAAACTTCATTTTGATAGCATTTCTGTACCTCTTCATTTCTTAGATTTCTCCAGTAACTGTTGTACTCTTCAATTTCCTGGTTATCCCAGGCTCTTCCTATGGGAGCCATGTTCCTGAAAGTTTCCCTCATCACATCTCTGTAGAGCTCCTTTTGGGATGGATTCAGCAGCACCCACTCCTCTGTGGTGAAGTTCACAGCCGCATCCTCAAAGGTCACCACCTCCATAGTGTGGCTTCAGGTTCTCCCAGGTCCTTCCCACACAGCATGCAGCCAACAGAAGTCACAGAAGTTGGCCCAGCAAGCTGGGTGGGCTCTCGGCAATGTTGTCTCCTGGAAGTTTTAGAACATGTAGTTTTGCTTGCTACTGTCCACAATCTTTGTTGTCCTATCCCAGCCTCAGTGTTAGGCAGCGTACCTATGCACCCGAGCCTCCCCTAGAAGTGAGTCTTAGTATTCCCATGCATTAGTGGTTAGTCTTCAGTAAGATTTTCTGCTCCTAACCCCAGTAGTGGTAGTAAGTAATAATATCAAATTATATCTACTGTCCTCCAAATGAAGGTATTTTGCTTCTATCCCCAACCTCCAAGAACTAAAGGGTTTTTGCCCTTGTCATGGGATTGAGTGGGTTTATTATCCATCTCTCAGAGGCAGAGGGATTTGGCTTCTGTTTCTCCCCTAAAAACAACATCTGTGTCCTGGGAGACTATTTGTTGACCCTCCTTCAATGACTTAAGGCTTTTGCTTGTGGCATAGTGGTCCAGGAAACAGAGGGGTGTTGTGCCTGTCCACCTCAGCAGCAGCTGTTCTGTTCTGTTCTTTTCAGTCTCCTGTTGTGTCCCTACTGTCTTGTGAACACCTTGGAAGCGGCTCCTGTTCTGTGGCTTCCCAGATGTACCGCTGCTCTGGACCCCGCTATCCAGGTCCTTGCCACTGGTGCTGTCCCAGAAGCACAAACTGGACGTGGGGGTCATGGCAGATTCCTTGGCCTCGTGGAGCAAGCACCGTGGGGGTGGGGATGGCAGTGCTTCAAGTGGTGCGGAGCCGCAGGGCCACGTGTGCCCTCCTGCCCTATTTATTTCATCACAGAGCTTTTTTTTTTTCAGCTTTAATTGAGTTTATTGGTACATTTTAGGGATATAGTACAGTCACATTCATTGTTGGGATCTTGTACCTCTACATGACAGGTCTTGGTTCTCATTTTTTCCCCTTACCCCTGCCCTCCCTTCACCCCCTCCTCCCCTCCCATCTACAACCACTTTATTTCCATCTTTTCATTATCTCACATTTTTTTCTTTTCCCTTATTGCCCTTCCCCTACCCATCCCACCTTCCCTACACCTTTAGCTCCTTTCTTCCCATTTCTAAATGATAGTAATCTTATTAGGATCTTCTGTATTATTGCAGATTATTCACACCAGAGAAGCTAT